TTCTTTTATTTCCGAATGCTTATATGGAAACCGGTACCGTGTAATTACCTCGAGATACCGCTATGGTGTTATCACACCCTTTCCTCTTTTCTCTTTGTCGTATCGGGAACCGAGATAAAGATCTTTCCTCGTCTGTCTTTATAAAGTGGTTTGACCCGGGACCTTGACACTTGACTTCGGCCGCATCCTTTCAGCATTGGAGGAGACCCGTTAGCTTCGAAGGTTCTTTGAAGGGTGACCCTACTTTCCGCCGCTGAAACTGTTACACCGAGCACGGCAATTTGTTTATAAACCATTTTCGATCTTACGCAATCAAATATTTTTTTATTATTTCGTTCGAGAATCTAGTATTTTTTCTCTGCTCCATTAGGTATAATTTGACTTTCCAGAGAAATGAAATTAATTTTGTATATACAACAGAAATTATAAATCGAAATGATACTTATATTGTACAAAATTTAATACTATTAACATTGCTATTGGTGGCTACACACTTCTTTTATGTCGATTTTTAAAATTGTGCACCTTAGGTACACCAAAATGTTGATAATATTGCAAATAACCTCTTTACTCATTTTCAGTTTAATTCTATATTTGTGTATTTATTCAGAAGTTCGAGGAATTTTATTCCTGAAAAATTAGCTTATCGAGAAATATAAAATGAATTTCCATTTTACTTGGCCCAATAAAAACATGCCTAAAACTTGAAAAAAAGAGGAAAATGAATTATTCTGTTCCCATATTATTTAAAAACATTGCAATATTTTGAGACAATAAATTCGAAAAAGTGGTAATCAATTACAAATTTGCACGACGATAAAAATACTGTAACAAACCAAGGTAATAATAGCCTGTAAAAATTGTGCATTTACTCTCAAACGTTACTCGTTAAATAAATATCAAAGTTTCTAAACCTTATATAATGAACCAATAAAACTGCTAACCTCGCCAATAATCTATAATTCGACTGAAGTTTGCCCATCTCCGCCAAAAACTGAGTTTTCAGTATTCCCTATCGCGATATGGCAGTGTTCCAGTTTGATCCCGAACATCTTCCGCAATATCTGATCGGAAGTTCAAGTATGATAAACGGAGCCTGTGCTCCGATGCTGCTAACGGTACCATCCGATCCTTTCTCTTTCTCGTGCCGTTGTATCTGCAATCACGATGAAAGTCTTCCTCTTGTCTACATGCACAGAGTGACTTGACCCAAGACCCTGGCACTCGATCAACTTAAATTCTTTTCTCACGAGCCTAGCAGCCTTCAAATGTCGCTGATGTTAATCGTTTGCACGGGTAATTGCTGCTGTCGTCCAGCCCCGCCGATACGTCAAAATCAAAATTACCGCGTTAACAGTCCTTCCGTCAGCATAAACATTTCCGTTTCTTTGTTTTTTTTCATCACTTTCCGTACCTCGATCGATCCACATTTCCAAACGGTCGTTGCTCCGCCGTTTTGTACCGCGAAACAAGTTTGCACTTTTAAAATAGCTTTCGCCCGCTTTACTCGATGAAAACGGGATTCCTATCTGTGACTTTTCAACGATCCACTCGCGACGTTTGTCATTTTCTGTCGACAAAATTTTTCTGGTCATATTTGACTTGGGATTCTGTTTTTAACAATTTCATAATTTAATTCTTCAACTTTCTTTTATGCATAATGAAAGAAATATATTAGCTAAAAGTGAAAACAGCTCTTTCTGGCCAAACGTAACAATTTCTCAAATATTACAAAAAAGTTTCTCTTGAAGATTTCTCATTTTCATATATACTGTCTCTTGCAGTAAATGCATGTTCTCTTTCGATAAATAAGAAAGGGGTAAGTATTGTATTATAGAAAGATTCTGTCTTTCCCTTGGAAGAAAATTGGAAAAATAATGTCGTAATGAAGGTGTATTCACAGAGAATATAAATTGGTAGGGCCACTATTCGAGAAACAGGTTTTATGGTTAGTTTCAATGTCACGAGCGTTCTAACGGTGTTCCAAATCGCTAGCCGCCGCGTTCCACGCTCGAATTTGGTCCGCGATTTTAATCGGATCGTGACTCCAAAGAATTTCACCGGCACGACGTGGCCGAAGGCGAAGAGCAAAGAACCAAATATTCCTCCGTGAAGTAACGGTACAGGGTCCCTGAAACCCTGAGAGGCAAAAAAAAATAACAAGACCACTCCAGCCATCCGCGACACCGATGAGCGTCCCGTTCTTTTAAGGACTGCCTCTCGTGAATTCGTTCCCATTCACGTTCTGTTTACCCCCTTCAGCCGAACAGCCAACCGTGTAATTTGAATGGAATGCGGCGTTAATCACTCGAACAATTCGTTCCTCGATAATTAGCCCTCAAACTGTTCGTGCAAATTAGCGAAACGACCAGCTCGTTATCGGTAGCAATTTCGTAACACAAAACAGTTATAAGACAACATTCTATTTTATTAAAAATTTCTATTCTGCTTCTATAAAAATCTTCTTGAAAAATTGATTTAAATAGATGATGGAATAAACTCGTTCTTTATGGGAAACTACTAATCTCTAATCTATTTCTATAGAAACCTCGTACAGTTTGAAACTTGTATCTCATTTTATATGTTAAAATCTTCGTCGAGAAATTGATTTAAATAGATGATGGAATGAAGTCGTTCTATATAGGAATCTAATAATTTCTAATCTATTTTTATAGAAACCTCGTACAGTTTAAAACTTGTATCTCATTTTATATGTTAAAATCTTCTTTGAAAAATTGATTTAAATAAATGATGGAATGAAGTTGTTCTTTATGAAAAACTAATAATTTCTAATCTATTTCTATAAAAACCTCGTACAGTTTAAAACTTGTATCTTATTTTATATGTTAAAATCTTCGTCGAGAGATTGATTTAAATGGATGATGGAATGAAGTCGTTATTTATGGGAAACCACGCGAAGAAAAATTGTTATAGATGATGAATTACCCTAGTTTAAGCAGCCACGATTATTTCTTGTTAATGCGTGCTTTATTAATCCAAGACAAGTATTACGATCGAGGAAAGACACTCGCCATGCAAGAAGTTTCATGTTGATTTATTATTTCGCGTACGCTGGCAGACACGGGGGCGTATTATGGAAAAATTACATCGTGTATTCGAGTTCGTGTAATGATTGTTCTAATACTCTCCGATGCATTGTTACAGATCCGTTTATATTATCCGAACTTTCCCTTTACGAATAGTGCCGGAACGAAGCGGAATTTTCATGTCGTGATTATACAGCGGCGCACTACTGCCGCCAATTATTCACATCGAGATCACTGAGCACCACAGATGCTTCATTATTACTCTGTAACTCTAATTTTTGTGTACCTGTACTTCTATCATCGAAGACTTTACTGTTATATAAAAGAGGGCACGATTTCTGTCAAGAATCGTACAGAAAATATTCTTCTCCTGATAAAAAATCTGTTGAAATCGAATGTATGTTACGTTAGAGACAAGAATACTTTATTTTCCAAGTTGGAATGATGTTTTTACAAGTAAAAAATTTTATGGAAATGCGTTGAGTAGTTTAATAAAATCTCAAACTATCGCGCGTTGGGAGAGACCGTCGGTGATTGGAAACTGATAATTTAAGTGATCCATTTCTGAGATCAGACAGAGCAACAGGGGGCTAGTAGTCGAGAAGATACGTAAAAGTCTTAAGCAAACGCAATAAACGTTTGACTGCATTGAAGATTCGATCGCACGTTAGTGAAAGTCGTTAAAATCCAATCGGTATTACAACAATAAAAAGACGTTTAATGGAAGCTAGTCTTCACGGTCGAGTTACGAAGAAAAAGTTTCTTCGTTTGTTTCTGCTGGAAGGAAATCAATCGTAACGTTTCCAGTTGGCTAAATTGCAGTTGAACGGAACCGAAGATCTTTCAATCGACGGAATTTAAGTTTTATATATTCTTGGAAATGATTGTCATTATTGAATAAATACATATCAAGATTTGTTAAAAATAGTAGTCTTCTCAATCTCTAGATTTTAGTCAGATTTAAATGACGTGTGGAATGAATTGGATAGAGAAATAACAAAAATTGTTAAACAGTTAGAAACGACATGACAGAGGTTTCTTCTATGAAAAGACAATAGAATTTTAATGTTTGTCCAAGAAATAATTATAACACAATTACGATTTTTATCTTCAAATACTCAATGTTCTTTCAATATTTGAAGACAAAGTTTTTGATAAAATGTTTTAAAGCTCGAAGGGTGCTTAAAATGTTTGAGTGGCAATGTACAGGGCGTTCATAAATTCAGTGTTTACACGCTTAGAAAAATAAACACGACGTTAGAGTTGAAACAATCTCGGTTGATCGCTCGAGCCACTATTTCAACGTCAAACGTGACTCTAATTTTTACGTAAGGTTGCCTCCGTGACTGTGGTGGGGACAACCTGTCAGTAGCCTTGAATGGATAATTAATTCAGATCCCACTATAGCAAGCATCGATTCAAGAAAAAGGTTTCGATAAGCAATAGAAAATATTAAAGCAGTTTTTAACTATCTTTCACCGTTTATACTATATTATATATTTAATAGTTGGAAAATCCATATCGTTTAATGGGTTAAAGTACTAAAAATTAAATAACTCTGTCAACCGATGTAAGTAGAAATGTTTATTCAAATATTTTTAAACAACACGCACGGCTAATCTCACGCGTCACTCGCAGATACGCGAAATATATGCACATATACAAAATATGCAAATTGTAACACGCGTTGTTAATAATCCTCAAAAGACAAAACGAATGACTGTTCGCGTCTCATTATTTTAACATTATCCCACAGAAATATTCATTTGCATCCAACGCCTACAGTCTAAATTTCTCACAACCCGTTCCGAGCGGGTCAACCTGTTTCTTCTACTGTTTGGGAATGTCGATTTGTGGGTACTACGGGTTGCATTAATCCCGCGTTACGACCATGCTGATAATTCTTTTTCAAATCTGCACGTACAGTCGAGGCTAAAATAAAAATTTTCAAACGCAAAGCATTGGGTGAATACCTTGGTGGTAAATATCGTAGAATGAGACTCTAAATTTTAATTTCCTTACGTAAAATTTAATTCGAAAGTATATTTACACCTGGGTAAAATTTTTACCATTTTTGCTTGAAAAGAAACTTTGTCGCAATTTTTCTCAGTTACGATACTTTTCTTTCTCGATAAAAGGCCTCGAAGTTGCAATAAAGACTATTGACCTTGCGTCCAAGTGTTCACTGGATAACATTTATATTTATTCTAACTCTTTGAGGGCACTTAAAGCCCTAATTAGTAGATCGATTAATGCTAAAACAAATTCTATTTTCAGCTGCAACTCTCGATTTCCGTGTTACTAAATTCGCTATAAAACTTCAAACCGAACGAATCAGGAACCAATATTAAAAGGGGTCCTCCGTATCGATGGCCTCATTTGTTTAAAATAATCAGAAAAAAGGTATTTACTTTCATGTATGTAGATAGGAATTGAAAGGGTTCGACTTCGACAGCAGAAAGAACTCTGGTCGAGAGTAGTCACTTATGGTTCTTACGCTCACGTTTTTACGTTCTTTTATGTTAAATAGCTATAGTAATATTAAATAATATAATTTACATAGTTACGTTTAAAGTGTCCCAATATTTGAACTCGACAACACGCTTGTGCCATCCCTGAAGTCCTTAAAAATTTTTAAAATCGTCTTATGTTCGGTTTTTCAGGGCAAATACCCCACCGTGCCTCCGTTCGGTCCCTAGAATAATTGTTATCCCTCGCTACCGAGAACGGTTTGTTATCGTCAAATATTTGCTTTCAGAGTCCCCGGTCGGCGATCACCGTCAGGGTCGCATGTCCCTTCAGACCGAGCTGCCGTCGTCGAAGGCGAAGAGGGAGCAAGCTCTTCGCAGCATCCTCGCCGCGAGAAGACGACAGATCTTGAGTCAACGACCAATCGAATCGCGGAATCTGAACCGCACACCGAGACCGCTCGAACCGTCGCCGAAGGATTCGCCGGATGTGCTGGAGGCGCAGGAGACCAGGCACGGAATGTACGTAACAGCGTCGTCCAAGGCGGAGCTACCGATCGCGGACGAGCCATCGAGCAGGATTATCGTGGCCGATTTAGCGGGCAAAGACGCGGACGTCGAGCTCGTCTCTAAGGAGCTAGAAGGCGAGCAGGTGGCCGAGCGTACCACGAGAAAACCGAGCAACGAGAGCTCGCCGGCGTCAAGCGTCGAGGGTAAACCGGCCTCCGGTAACTCGAGAAGCAATTACTCCATCGGCCATAGAAATTCTTCCTCGCCTCCGTCCTCCCCGACGTCTTCATCGTTGCTCGCCAGCAGTCAGAAACCAACGGACGCGGACGCCCGCAAAAAGAATATCGTATCGATGCCCGAGTCGCTGTACAATTATTTCAGGCCCGTGGAGAGCAACATACCGGTCGAGGACATGTCGCAGTTTCTTTACTTCGGCCAGAAGATCCAGTCGGAGGCGCACACCAGCACCGGGAACACCGAGGCGACGCCGACGTCACCGATCGCCTCCATCTCGCGACGCAGATACTCCATGAAACGATTCGGCGCCACCACTCCGGTACCCAGGTTGGAGGAAATCATGAACGAGGAGATGAACATCGCCGTGGAGCGACGCATAGTGGAGAAGAACAAGGTCTCCAAGATCAAGAACGCGTTCAGGGGCCCGGAAAACGGAGTGTACTACAGGAAAGCCAGGCCCACGGATCCCACGATTGCCTCGAACGTTATCCTCGGGAATTCCACGGAGACGGTCTGCGGAACGGACTCTCCCGACGATAACCCGTCCGCTCACGCCGACAGGGACCAGCTGCGCCGCGAGAGAGGAAGTCCTCCTGCCCACGTGCCCGCGGAATCGAGGAATGCGAGCAACTCGACCCAGATACCGCAGCCCGTTTCCGCGGAAAGTGAAATCGAGTTTAGGGAGCTCGACGAAACGGACACGGAGATGTTCGGGGACCACACCGAACAGAGGATCAGAAGGGTGGACATCTTCGACGTACCCCAGAATCGATCTCGAGCTCCGAGTGCTCGCGAGAGCAACAACATCGAGACGTCGACGTCCAGGGAGAAGATCGCTCGATCGAGCACGGAACCGTTCTGGACGTCCCCTGAGACCTCCACCCTGCGGATAATCGTAACCGAGGGCAGCTTGGATCAGGGTTTCGCGGCGGGCACCGACGCCGTAGAGAAGTATACCGTTAAACCGGTCGATTCCACGGAGGAACGAGTTCGCAGCCTCGCTTCCGGCGAGGCTCCCACTCCGGGTGCACCGACGGCCGCGACGACGCGGACCAAGGGTCGACACCGGGAACAGAAGCATCGGGATCAGGGGCAGCATCGACATCGGGAACAACAGCAGCAGCACGTGTACGCGTACACGATAACGAACGTGACGCGGCTATTGCGCAACTACACCGGACCTGGGTTAAGCAGAGAGGAACAAGGAGGTTCCGAGCGGGGCACCGGTACGACCGAGATAACGACCGGATCGGTGCAGCGGCGTCAGCCGCCGCCGCCGTCTCTTCTTCTGCTTCCTCGTGCCGGTAGTGGTATAGAGGCGGACCGAGCGCCGGCGGAACTCAGTGCCGGCACGACCGTCGAAGCAGTCGCAGCTGGTGGAGCGTCCACTGGTCACCTGGTGGGGGAACGACAGAGGAAAGTCGTAACAGTCGCGCCTCAGACGGGGGAACGCGCGGTCAACGGTGCATCGACGCAGCTGACCGTAAACAAGAGCGGACCGAGGCCGGGCAAACCGACGGAAGTCGCTAGCAGAGGCGCCGTCCGATGGAACCACACTAGGGCCAGGAACGACGAACTCGAGGGCGTAGGGGACAGACGGTTCCTCAGGAAGTCCGCGAGCGCGGTGCTCAATCAGAGAATCGGGGCCAACGGCGACGAGGACGCGGCGGTCGGGAAAAGGCGACGGACAAATGGCCAAATCAGAAGGGTCAAAGGTATTCACGATCGAACGACGAATGGATCCGTCTCGAGGAACGATGAGGACACTGTGAACCGGACTACCGAACTCGCCATGACGACGGAAAGCGTCACCGCGGCCGAGGAAGTCGGTTCGACCACCCCTCAAACGGTCGTTAATACCACGGAGGAGGACGCGAGCAATCTGACGGAGGCGGTGACTTCGATGGACAGTGACATCGGTGATACCAAAGACAAAAATGAGAACGAAAGTGTACGCGGTTCGTCGTCCGTGACAGTGACCGTGGACGAAACCGTCGGGCCCAGAGAAACGACCGCGACACCGATTCCGGCGCCAGTTTTCCCAGTTACGCCCAGAATAATCGCGGAAACCGTTCGCGAGAAGGAGACTTTCACCGTGAGTCCAACGGAGCCCAGCCAGGCGACGGACGCGAAACCGACCGAGCCGAACAAGCCCTACGGGATGGCCAACCTGGACCCATCGGAGATCCAAAAGATGTATCGATCCAACGCGACCGTACCTACCCCCGCGACGACGATAGAAGCGCCCACGACCGCGATCACCACGATAGAGACTCCGACAACGCGGGACCAAAGCGCTACTTCCGACTCGAAACCAGATCCAGATTCGCCGAGACGCGTGTCCGGCGAGAGATCCCCGGAAGTCAGAGGGCGAAACCTGTCCGACAAATCGAAAGACAAGGACGACGTGTTGCCCATAATGCAGCTGTACAACACCTCGGATATATTCAACGGCAGCGGACCCATGAACTCGTTCTCCCGCGGAACGGAACGTCGAGTCGAGCTTCCGGTGGAGTCCAAGCAACCGGACGTTTCCAGAACGACCGAGAAAGTCAACGACACGGTCACCCCGAAAAGTTCGCCCGGCGACGGTCCCAGCACCAACCGTGTCCCCGTTTCCGAGACGACGAGGAAGGACAAGCACGACGACGCTCGCGAAACGTCCTCTCACGTGCCGCCGACGGGCCCGGGCAGAGGGCCCGTGAATGGGAACAGGACGAGACACAGGCCCCTCTATCATCACGCGATCCTCCCGGAATACAACATCTCTGTGTACCCCGACGAACTGAACAGGACGTTCTTCGACACCGGTCTGATATCGGTCAGTCCCAGGGAATCGGTGAATGTCAGTGAAGTGATATCGAAGAGACACGACGGGGACGCCATCGCGTCCCAGGAAACGGTCGCCGTGGTCAGCTACATCCTAGCGACGCTCGTCGTCTTCCCCATCGCTGTCGGCGTTGGCCTCATTCTTAGAAGACTGATACTTAGGAATCGTAAGGTGAGTGTGGCTGGATTTGGATTTGGGTCAGAGGTACAGACGGGGATTAGAAAGTATTTCTACGCGTACGTAACGTATGTCGCTGAACGAAAGTGGTCTTGTGATCTTTGGTGCTGGTCCGGTGCCCAGACTCCGCGGCGTGAAAGTTCGCGGAGGTGTAGGAACAAGGTTGGTGTCAGTGACCAGCTCACTTTCGGAATGGGTATCCTGAATTGTGTGCGGCTCTTCCTCGTCGGGGCTGCAGCGATCGTGTACGAGATGGTCGAGAAACTTTTTAATAAACTTGTTAGCGCGTCCCAGAAAATATTAGTCGCTTTCTTTCCTGGTTGCTGGAAGTCTATGAAATCGATGCATATTCTTGCAGAAAATTAGTATTCGAAGTGAAATTTTGAAAAATTTTACTTTTATGCAATTCGCGATGAAACAAATTAAGTATTGAGAGCGAAATTTTTTCATTCGAGGCTTCGTTTTCGAGAAAATTATTAGTCGCTTTCCTTCTTGGTTACTTTTATGCAGTCTATGGAATCGATGCATGTTCTTGCAGAAAATTAGATTTCGAAGTGGAATTTTGAAAAATTGTACTGTTGTGCAATTTTTGATGCAATTCGTGATTCTACGCGAAGAAATAAATAAAAAGTTGAGAGGGAAATTTTTTAATTCGAAGCCTCGTTTTCGAGGTAATTGACTGAAAATATCAACGCAAGTAGAAACATTGATCAATGGACAGACATGTCAGACAAATCGTACTCTATTTGTAACTCTATTATCTCGAAAAGGAAGCCTCGAACGAAAAAAGTTTCTTCCTTATTTTCGACTTGTTTTTTTAAATATTCTCCGTTTCTTTTTCACTATTTGAGCATTAAAGTTACTGTTTTTATAATTTATGGGTTTGATCCCTATGTATATTCTGTTGTGATTGAAATGGAGGATGCAAAAAACAGAGTTATTCTAATAAAATTAAAAATTCTCGCATTCGATGCACTTTTACTGAAAATATTCTTCAGAAGGTTCGAATATTTTTTTTGCTCATAAGAACAAGTTCACTTACGACAGTTATTGAAATACAGCCTCATGCTACGCTTTCTCCAATGTCTGGAACATCCGACACAGCCTGATCTAGATAAAATATTCTCCTACACCTGAAACTTAAAAAAGTAAAAACAAGAATATAAATAAATATATAATAATGGTGTTTCGAGACGCATATTTTCTGGGATACCCCAATAATTAAATCGCAATTGCGAAACTGGTTGACGCGCCGCGATGATGGATCCTCACGTCGAAATTATTTTCCTCCAGTTCGCGTTTCGAAAACACGATTTGCATGCCGCGTTTCCGGCTCGAAATCGGATCGAGACAGCGTCGATTTTCGACGGAGATTTTCCTGGAAACAGTTTTGATGAATTCTGCAACGAGAATCCACGATCGATACAGTGAATCATGGCGGTGCTTCGAAACGCGCAGAAGTCGAAACGTTTCATTTTTATTGACCTCGATTCCCGTCCGGTGGGTGTAGCTTCCTTTCGGTCGCTGCCGATCGTCGGAACGTTCTCGCGGCAAAAACTTTGATTTACGATTGTGTACCGTAAACCGTATCTGGCCGATGATCGCAAAATCGAAACGCAGATCGTATACCAATGCCACTTATGTACCGTTACGCAGCCTGCGGATTACCAACGACCACGAGCATTTATCATCCAGCCATTAACCGAGACTTTCGTGTTATCTCGCGGCCAACGAAACAGTTGTGCGTGTGTAGCGTCAAGTTCAACAATTTGATGGCTGGGTTCGAAAGTGCCGCTTCCCAGCTGGTTCCGTGTTCGAGGAATTAATTGGATCGAGATCGCGCCGGACGAATTAACGAGGGGACCCACACGACACCTTACACACCGATTTTTTGGAAACGTAGACAGATAAAGAACCAAAAAAAAATGTTTCATTTGAGGCGAGAAATTGGCTGATCCAGGGTTCCTCGAACTTTGTCTTTTCGACATTCTTTAAATTGTTACACATTTCTCGACTTAAACTTTTGTAGCAGATTGATGTAGAACTTGAAATGTATTTAAAATTATATACATTTTGACAGAATTCTTATTAATTGATTTGTAGGTAAAACAATTTCATTATGAAGAGAAACAACTGGGTTGCAAAATTAAATTGCTCCAGCTGTGTAATCGACATGGCTGATCAATAGGAAGGAGATTGTACTGTAACCAGTCAGACCAGCTCCTCGTCACTGCACATTGAAGTTCATTTATACAAATGTGATAGCAATTCTTTGTTTAAACCAAATCTAATTGCTGTCCAGTGGTGCACAACCTTTTTAGTTCTTGCAATAAATCAGTCAAAATAGTATTTTTTGTAGGCTAAATTTCAAGTTAAGACGATAGCAAAGTGTAAGATAATTAAGTGCATATATTGAAAGATTTATGTAGTAGCCTATCATCTACTGGAACATTAGTTTTGTAATATCTTTTGTATAGATCTTTGAATTTTCTTTTAACTGTATTTTGTGAACGTAACGTTGTCTTGAAGCATTTAATATATAATAAATTAAATTAGAAGCATTTAATATTAATAAATTAAATTTAATTATACAGTACTTTTCAGCATAGAAGAACATTCTAGATCACTGTTTCGCTTAAAAAAATACCATTTACCTGATATGTATAAACTAGTTGTCATTTATGATATTTATTGTTTATTATTCGATAAATTACGGAGTATCTGAATAAACGATTAAATAAATACGAAATATTTTTTGGTTGTCTATCTATTTACGAAGTCTCGATAAAATCAGTGCTTAACAGCGCGTTATGTGGTCCCCATGTAAGTTGGCGTTAGCGTGTATTCCGACGATCATCAAGGTTGAAAGACGCTGAATGAAGCGTAATGAAAGATTGCTTCTTCTGATGAAAATGGCATAACCACTGGGAAGCAAATGCTTTGAAGGCTTATTAATGATGGTGTTTCGGAGTTCCGCTGGAAAGTTTGCGGGTCGTGGTAACAGGACTTCGAACGCTTATGTTTTTTTTGTTTGCGCGATTATATCAGTTCTGCGAAGGATATTTTTCAGACGCTCTTGGGTAATGAAAGCATCTTCTGTAACGGACCTTCTGGGAAAAATGATTTCTCGGAACACAATTTATTTTTGATACTCGTAATTCGTTGTTTGCTTATTCAAATTTTATATCGTTCCTGGTAAATTTTTATAATTTTAATTTTTAAGAAATTACTTGAGTAGTATTATCAATGTTTCTGATTTCATTTCTACTGTGCATTTCGTACTATTTGTACAAAATTTCTAAAATCAAAGTATTCATGTGCTCACTTAGGAACTTTGATGCAAATTCAATAAATTTTAATAAAAATACATTTTCTAATTATAAACGATATCTTCGTTGATGCAAATACTGGGCAAATAAATTTATTACTAATACTTCGTGGAATGTTCAATGAATTATTTAACGACTTTGAAAACACGAATCGTTAATCAATTTTTACTTTTAAATATACTTCTATCGTGTTGACATTTTAATGAATTTTTGTTATCTTACTGGCAAGCAATTTCGCGATATACGTTGTCATTTCAGTGTCACAGTAAATTGCGCAAGCATCTAAATTTCTCGATTAATGAACGAAATGTTGAAAATGAGTCATCGTGACGCGATATTTTGTTGCATATTTTTGTGAAACATGTCGTACCGGCCCTGAACTCGTCACGAACACAACGACTCGTCGAATAATTTTTATGGTTCGCGAAGGTTCGCCAATGATTCACCGCGAATGGTCGCTCAATCGACAATTACGATCGTCAGGTTCATTGTATGAAGAGGATTACCTGCTGTCTTCCTTCGAGCGAGAATGCGCCATGACGTCCCATCATCTTAGATCCATTTGATAGTATAATGCCTTAACCTAACGAGAAAATAAATACGGAATTGCATAACGTGAAGATGGTTCGCGCCATTGTCTCCGATAAGAGTTTAATTGCTCGTCTCGCGAACAGGACGCGCCGAACTCGAACATCGAGACTGAAAAATTGAAATTCATTGATAAAAGCCGAGGAAAAATGAGATTCATTGACGAAGTTACCGCGAGAAGGAAACTTCGATTCATCGAAGTTGCATCGAGGAAGTTCGTAATTTGCTCTTTAAGCAAGAGCAAAATATTCAATCGCGTCAGCAGGAAACGAACAACGTCGATTTATTATCTGCAAATGCATGCTCGATTCGCGAATTATCTGGCACAGCTCGATTATTTTTAGCGCGAGCGATCGTAAAAATCGAGGATATAAATTCGAAGCTAACTGGACATTCATGATTGTAAACTCTCGCGATGGTACAAAGGGTCACGTGAAGACAAAAACGAATGAAAAGATCCAAGGGCCAAACCCGTTTGAGGGCTTCCTCGAAAACATCGAATATGCTTTACGCGCTTTGCATTGAAATTTCATCGAAAAGAAAGAGGGGACCTGTTAGTTTTGACGCGAGATCGTCAGAGAACACAAGCTCGACGAAACAAATATAAAATTTCAAAAGAATTCTATAAATACAGACACTGATTTGTCGTTTCTAAAAATAATATTTATTTTAAAACTAGGCGTCGATCTCCTGACATGGGCAAACAGCTCGTTCGATGCAACGCAAACGAAACGCGTCGCGAAATGATTCGCACGACATTTTTCAAGCGTCATTCTTTAAATAAAAAAGCAAACAGTCGCGTATCGTCTCTCGGTTTTGCGTCAAAGTCGTTTTTCTATCTGCCGCGCTGCTTTGCATATTTTCAAGTTCAACGAGCGTTATCTGCGAGATTCGTGCTCGGTTACGACGGAACAAACTCTCGTTTATAACGAAACGATAAGAGGCCCGTTGAGTCGTGTAATTAAATAAATGAAACACACGATGCTGCGTAGCTACCTGACATTGCAGCCACGGTGGATTGCATTTTACGAGACGCGTACTCGCAATTTTACGCGTGAAAATTTTTACGAAATCAACGTACGACGTTCATGTTGCATAGGTGCTCGAGGAGTCTGACACATCGTCGGAGATAAGTTGCCGGAAGGACGCGCTGAACCTTGAAAACGGAGACTTCAAAACGTCCATTGAGAAGGCGATCACGAAGTTACCGAGGATACAACACTTGGTAAGCTTACGTTTCTTTTGTTTTATTATCATAACTTTAACCTTTGGCGAAGGTACCTGAATACTACGTTCGCGATTTTATTATATCGAAATTACCACTGCAACGATTATCAAATCGACTTGCACGCTTTCATTAATAATGTTACGATGGAATCTCTTTGTAATAAACTTTTCCCAATTCAGGACGTTTTGGGCCATTTTCAACGAATAGAATATCTAAGCGTTATTGTAAATAAAAAATGTAATACAGTTATCTACTGTTTGAATTAAATTTGACCCATTTTTGAAACTTCTGAAACGTCAGAGGGAGCTCCTCGTCAGTTTTAATTCGTTTCTAAATAATTGTCTGTCGCGATTGAATAGCGTTTTTTTTCTTTTCAGTGTCACGAAGCGGAGAAGCCGCCGCCTCCGTCGTCGCAGGAATCTAGATGGGAGTTTCCTAGAGATAAGCTTAGGTTACAGACGGTCCTCGGCCAAGGAAACTTCGGCCAGGTAAGACATTATTTTCTACTTCGAACTGGACAGAAACACCAAGAGAGCCAAGTCAGCGCGATAATAAATCGTCGAACGTTAACGCGAAACGTTCAGCGCCGGCAGAACCACCGATTCTATGCCCCATGAAATAGTCTGGGAATTCATAAGAATAGCAGCTTTTCGTATTTTAAAAAATATGGTCCGACGTTGCATAATTTGCTTCTTAACAACGGACTTTAAGTAACTCGTTTATCTATTATGGAAATTGATTTCGCTGATAATTCGAATAATTAGTTACGTAATAACGATAAAACGAGGAAACTTTTTTATTATATTCAGCTTAGTGATCTAATGTTCTCCAAATGTTCGACAATCAAGTGTTCCGTGCGTAATTCTTCCAACTTTACGATTAACAAACCGATAATTAGCGGAATCTTTTTTACATAAGTCTCCTGCTAGAGAGAATTATAATAATTGCGTAATTGTTTATTTACAATCGGTCCTATGAGCGCATAATTTCTGACATGATAGTTCTTGGAATCTTCTTCGATCTTTTGTTTCGAAGAATTCCAAAATATTTGAATTTTTGGATACGATCTTTATGTAGAAAATTGCTAAGATAGCTTAACCTTTTTCGATCTACTCAATGTAAAAGTTGAATTAACACTTATTAAATAGGTATTCCTATGTCACAATTTTCTATCGTTAAGGTCTGGAAGGCTGAAGCTGACGATCTGACCGGTCATCAAGGAACGACTCGTTTAGTGGCCGTCAAAACAGTCAAAGAAGGTGCTTCCGATCGAGAGAAAGAGGATCTGGTTCGAGAACTCGAGATCATGCAACAACTCGGTAGTCATCCTAACGTTGTCACCCTCCTTGGTTGTTGCACCGAGCAAGGTAAGCTTTAACAAACATCATTCACTGTTTCTCATAAGTGCAACGTCCAGAAAAATGCATTTGTATTTCAGAAACATGAAGTTGCATTCCTCTTTACTCGTGTCAGTTCCTTGCAACATTTCGTGTAAAAATAAAATCGTTGCACTTATTAAATTTAATTCTGTGTCACACTCTGGATAAAAATGTCCTACTCTTTTTATTTCTAAAATTTCATTTGTATAAATTTATGTAATATAAATTGTCCGTTATTTCGAACTTGAATCGATTGAATAATTTAGAATTTCTATCTCTAACATCTTTACATTTACGCGATGCTATCCCACGAGCTTTTCATTTACAGACGTCTGTTATGCTAATTTGCCACCGGTGTATGAAAATTCATGTTCTCTTTTGCATCTGCGATCGAGACATCTTCTTTATGACTGACTGCACGAATCATTTATGTAATACTTTACATGCACGGGCACCGACGACGTAAAACTATATAAAAACTAGTAGCGTTTTAAGTGCCCCCCTAACGTAAAACATGCAGTTACGATGCTACGATTAAGCAATCATGCTTGGTAAAGAAACTTCATTTTTTACAAGAGCAAGTCTCTGTTTCTAATTTTATAATGAATGTCAAATGTGCTTTAAAAGCTCTTCTCGATTTCTCTGTAATTTCTCTACACCCTTAAACAGTGAATGAAACTATGACTCATGAAAGGATTAAAAATTCCTTTTCTGTTCTTTTACGCGAGGAATTTCTCCGCGAAATCTAACCATTTGAACAATAATTCTATTCGACGAGTCCATAAAAAGAACGACAGTGATTACTCCTTAAATTGTGTTTGTCTCCCTGCAAGATGACGTAAATTTAATTATTTATGATTCCGTGTTTTTGTCGACCAATCACAGATCGTATCGTTGCAAACCGCGGTGTAATGCATATTGAAGGTATCGTTAGGGTAACGCAAGAGAAGCATTCTTTGTCATTGAGTCACCGATAGTCGTATTTTTTTTTTCTTTTTTTTCTTTTCGTTCGATCGCTGCAAACCGCCATCGTAATCATTTTTATACGCGCGTCTCTATTGTTTTGCGAATAAAAGGAAGATCGATCGTTTTCTCGGAGGAGACAGCTGTTTACCATCATCCTGTTGGTAATTGAGCAACAGGCCTAACAGCCTCCGCCAAGTCGCAACGGACAGATTAACGAGTTCTGCGCAGTTCGTCGTCTACGATAACAAATCGACTAATTATGAAAATAGTCGAATGCGATTTTTGTTCGGCGGGGGATTTCTCACGGCTCGCAAACAGTTTGCTTGTTGCGAGAGAACTATCTCATGTGCGCAGGAAATCTTGCATAAAAGGTTAACTTAATGTGCATATCGATCGTTGTTGGGTGCACATCTTAAGTTCAGAGTTAGATTTCACAGCATACGTGTTCTTTAATGATATGTTTTCCATGTAATTGAAAACTAAATCTGAAAATATGGCGTTAGGAAAGTTCCAACGTAGCATGATCGTCTACTGAAAATAGCCTTTAATCTAATCTTTGGCAAATTCTGATCGAATATGATTTTCTGGAATTTTCTTTCGCGTTTAACCTACTTCGAGAAACGATTCTGTTCTCGAGCTTGTTCAGCACGTTTTGCATGCATCAGCACCTTTGAATTCACTCGTTTCTCACTGGTATTGCATATCGGTCATCCTCGCTTGGAGTTACATCATCAAAATACAAAATTGAAAGAAGACTATTGCGCAACGTCGCGGTGGAAATTTTGTATACAAAAGAGTGGAATACAAAGTGTCAGTAATTACTCCCTGGTTAATTGCAATAGAATAGTTACCTGGCAATTACACCGACAAACGTAATTAAGTAATTATATCATTATTCGCCGTTAATTGTTATTTAGCGTGATAGAACGACGAATCAATTCATTGGCAGTTTATTTTCGCGTCTTGAATTAGCGATTGTACACGGTTGAATTGTACGTTCGAAATTGCGTCAACAAATGTAATTAAAGACGATTGTATAGTTTAATAAAAGGATAAACAGTTGTTTCGATATTGGTAACTCTCCAGAGACGAGAAAGAAGTATCCAACTGTAACAAAAGTTGGATCAATTTTTCAGCGAAAAAAAAAATTTCAAATCGTTCTGAAAAAATTACTTTAGCTAGGAAAGTCAATTACAATCATTTTTGGTGAATAGACATACCCCCGAAATCTTAACCGCTTTCGAGAAAAAAATTCGGGAAGGTGTAAAATTTGTCAACATAATTAAAAATTTTCAAATCGTTCTAAAAAAATTATTTTTGTTTCCAGGGGTCAATTATAGTCATTTTTGGTGAATAGACATACCCCCGAAATCTGAGCCACTTTCGAGAAAAAAATTCGAGAAGGCGTGAAATTTTTCAAGAAAATTAAAAATTTTCAAATCGTTCTAAAAAAATTGTTTCTGTTTGTAGGGGTCAATTATAGTCATTTTTGGTCAATAGACATACCCACAATTTCCTACGCATTTTCGAGAAAAAAATTCGAGAAGGTGTGAAATTTGTCAACAAAATTAAGAATTTTCAAATCCTTATAAAAAAATTGTTTCTGTTTGCAGGGGTCAATTATAGTCATTTTTGGTCAATAGACATACCCCCAATTTCCTACGCATTTTCGAGAAAAAAATTCATTACTGAAAATATAATGTCTGATCATAACTGTCTATTACCCTGAAAATTGAAAAGTTACAAATCATTCTGGAAAAATTATTTTTGATTGCAGGGGTCAATTATAATCATGCTTGGTTAATAGACATACCCTCAAAATCCTACCCACTTTCGAGAAAAAAATTCGAGTAGTTGGGAATTATTTTTAGTTAGTTAGCACGTAGTGTCAAAGTAAATATGAAAATAAACATAGAAGGCAACATAAATTAGAATAGTTGTTACGTTCATAGGTTAGAGGATGAAATGCTCTTTAAAATGAGTGCTTGTAGAAGTCGATAGCTTAATTAGTTCCGGAGATGGGGTTTGTTTACTTTTCATTCTTTACGTCGCGAGGTCAATGACTGCACGTGATCGTAGTAAACAGTAAACATTGCGTAACTGGGTCACTCGGCCACTCGATCACGTGCGAGAAAGTGCATTTACATAAATTGCAATATCTCCGAAACGGAAAGTCGGATCGACAAAAACCAAAAACGATTTTAAAGGGGAAGCTTCACCGCTACCAACAATGATTCAATTATGAAGAAAATCCTAGTAATTTCGGAACTGTACGCATGTAAAGTTTTATTATTTTTAATACGCGTTGTTACGTATACTATAAGGGAAGTCGTCAAATTAAATGACTCTAAAATAACACTGTATGTCAGAAATTCCAAACGAAATTTAAAAAATGGCGAATGGACAACAAAATTTTATTTTTGTATACTCTTGAACACCATATTGTAAATCCAATATAATGCATTTTATATACACGGTTATGGATGGATCAAAAATAGAATATTCTTCTCGAGAAACAAGATTGAGGATCTTTCAGAGGCACAACGTTCTTCTCTATCGTTTCTAAGGCTGCGAGGAGAGCCAAAGGAGCTTAAGGAGGAACAAATTTCTAAATTGCAAGCTTCTTAAATGCATAATCTTTTCGCAAATTACGGTGGCTGTCGCGACGCGTGAAATTATATGCTTCGTTACGCGGACGCAGATTGCGATTAACGACAAATCTGTGCTTGAGACATCAAAACTCCAACGAGACAATCTGCAGTTTTAGTCGTGCCGGGCTTCAAGGGGAAGGCCCATTATACGTCTTTCGTTCCAGGCTCGTCGGTATCGTCGCTCACATCGTATAAATTTCCATACGCGTCCCCACGGCGACGATCCTCATGGCACAATACGTCTATTAAGTCGGCGAAATGATCGTTCCTACGGGGTTCAGGGAGAGAATACCGGTATCGATACGATCGGTCCGCGGTCGATCTGAATTTGACGTCGCGGCGACCTTCCGCCGATATTTATGCGTGCGCTATTCGTTTTCGCGATTGTATGCTAATGCGCGGCGAGCTCGTCTAGCAATAACATGAAATTTAATCCTTCTACGTGGAAGTGGTTTTTTTTTCGAGACTTGACGCAAAAACCGCCCGTTTCGCTCTTAGAAGAATTGCCGCGCGCTTGGTTTGCGACTTTTCCTTCACAATGGCGCGTAACTTTTCTGGCAGCGTCGCCGATTTCTTTGATAACGACCGCAGATTGCATTGTGCATGGCGCGGAATGGGAATGGACCATTTGAATTTGTCGGTGGGAGAGATGGAGCAACCCGCAAAGAATGCTAAAAATTGTAAACAGTCGGGAGCTCTAATATGCTGTACAGGCTGCCTCATAAACGTTTTTCGCCACGAGCATTGTTAGAAATCATTTCGATTTGTTTTAATAACATCTATAGAACTAAAGTATAAATTTAGAATTAAAGATAGTAATTTACACCTGTTACACCTTCAAAAAAAATCTTTTACATATGTAGAATGCACTGTTTAAGTTTTAAAAACAAATTTCAAGTAATATTTACAAAATGTTTGCTTTTCTCGATTTCCACGGAGGGATGACTCCTTAAAATGAAAACAAATAATTATGTCTGGATTAAGAATATTAGAGTCGTTAAATAAAATATTTTAGCTCTTATAAAGATCGTTGGAATAATTTGTGGACGATTATCGAAGCCCCGCGGATGGCGCGTTTGCCTTCAGACGCATCTTCTTGAAGGACTTTCGACTTCGTTGCTCTGGCATAGAAGAAAAAACACGCCCGCGAGGACCTCCACGCAAGATTTACGGCATCTGAATTTCTGACCCTCCATCCCCCCTGTATTTATCGTTCGGGTCCGGGTGGGCGCGTTCAAATTCCTCTCCAGAGACGTTTTCGTCCCTTGACGGCCGACTCTCGTCAAAGGGTGCCCTCGTGTACGCCCTTCCTAACGACTCCCATTGAAAAAATAAAGGACCCCAAGCTCGAAGGCCCAACGTACGCTTTTAATGTGGCCTGTCGCGCTACAGCGCAACACCGATATCTCATAAAGGATTGAATGATAGCCATCGATTGAAACAGCGTATCTTGTCGAGGAAATAAAAATTCACTTCCTCGATACTCTACTTGCACAGAAATGCACTTGAAATTTAGCTTATTTCTCAGTTAGCCACTCAACTCTGATATGCTTACGATTGCAATGAAATATTTCTTAAGGGATCGAAATAAATTTTTTTACTATAGATAATGCACATGAAACTCTTTAAAAGGAAATTTTATATTTCTCTCAAAATGACTCTAAACAGAGTTTGAAATTCCAAACTTACTATGGAACTGCACAAGAACTTCTTAAAATTTTAAACGAAAAATAGCCATTTTGACTAGGAATGTTTTCATCATATTTCAGAAACAAAGTGGCGTCGATGTTCGAAAAATTCCATTTGTATTTTCCACCGAGGTGTTTAAAAAAATAACAAAAATAGCCTGCTCCACGTATGGAGGCGTCAGAATGATTGCTCGACGCTCGTTAGATCGCTTCATTCCGCGACGATGGTTAAAAATTCACCCACGAGGAGCAACGAAGGATCTTCGAGGGCGATCCTTCGGGACGAACCTCGAACCTGACTCGTTTTTCGATTCGTTTTTTATTTTCAAGGGGAGTCTAATCGAGCCTTGGCTTATTTATTCGCAGGGGACAAGATTCCTCGACGCTTTAGCGCGCGTATGAATTAGGGGCAACATTAAACGCAGGCTCTCTGTCGTGGCTTTTGATCCTGCGACGCGCGTACCGCGACCTCTTCCTCCATAAACTATCGCGCGTGGCGATCATTATACAAGGGGCCACCGGTTATCGATGACAAATTTCACTGATCCGCTCGAAAGTTTCTGTTGAATGTCACGCATTCTGGTTAGTCAGGTGCAATAAACGAATTTCATTCGCATTCTACAACGACTTAATCTATCGACTCGTTCACATTTGTAATCGTGATTTACTACGAGTACCATTTTTGGTTCTCATTGGGAAATAAGCACTTGTTATAGTTGGAAATTAAGAAATTAAGAATCAAATAACTCGTTTATTAAATTTTATTAAAGATTGCAATGGAAAAAGACGTATTTGCAAAATTTATGCAACCAAAAAATATATCTATTATATGCATTTTGTAGAGGATGAAACCAAATTAAACCACTTGCAACAATGTATCCTTCTACGTAATTGATTTCGAAATACTTAGATTAATATTTTCTAATATCATCGAAATTAATGATACAAGAATTTGTATTCAAACTCGTATTTATCATTATAAAAGCAATACTCTAAATATCAAATTTCTTCAACGGTAGTACATAAAAATTATAATAAATTATAAATATAAAATTTAGATATAAATATAAATTAAAATATAAATATAAATAAAAAAATTATAAAAATTATAATGAATTAGAGTAAGCAATCACGTGAAAGGGACAAGTGTGCACAGCGATTATTCATGCTATTTTAAGTAACCTGCATGTTTTCAAGAAAAGTTCAGATTGAAGTTACTTTAAAAAATAGCTGGTTTTCTTAGAGTCAGATGAATGGATTACTGTCTACTATTGCGACAGCTTTATGATTTCACTTCAAATTCATGTTCGTTCTTAACGAATAAAATTTTCTGTGTCGCTGAATTCTTCTTGACGAATCGTTTTAATTAAACGTAAATTAATTCATTCGAGACCAGTATCGCAAATTGCAAGGTTCATCGTCGGCGTAACGGAATTCCCCCATTACAGATTTTATCAATCGTTAATATAGACGCAATTATTTCATCTATAACCAACACTCTGAATCGTAGATTTTCTTCATTATTTATGAAGTAACACTTTTCATTGAAATTTAAAGCAAAGACATTGCACACACGCGTTCAGCGTGGTTTTTCACGCGTTGCTAATGAAATGATAATAAATGCTATCCATTCTGTACGTTTACTCCGAGCTTCCACCATAGAATTGTCATTTTCTCGGGAAAGAGGCGCGTTATTTTATCAAACCGACTGTCTATTTCTCGCACGGCCAATAATTCCGAGAAAGACAAAGTTGCTGGCACGTGCGAGTGTTGTAAGATCCTATCCTCGCGTCTTATGCTAAAAAGCTCGTGGATCGCGGCGCGAAAAAGCGAGAGGGAAGGAGAAGCTGTAGGAAGATATGCATTTATGTATTCGCGCTTTGTTCGGTGTTAAGTTATAGTATTCGAACGCCCACTGACGCCAGTATCGAGTCAACCAACTCAGAGGTTCTTGTTTCTCTCTGTGACATAAATTTGTCAAAATCGAACAATCGCAGGCGATCAAACGTCGACGGTTTCTATGATCGACAAAGTAAACAAATCTCAAACTAGATTGTACAAGAAACTCTTTAGACGAGAAATAAAAATAAAACAAAATTGAAACCCAAGTCTTCGTTACCCAGACAAACGCAGTTTTATTGCAACGTATTGAAGTGAGATCTCCTCGTTGCAGTATCGAACTTGCCACAGAATCCGACAGCGGACGGTTACCCATTAATTATGAACATTAAATTACCACGTAACAATCCTCGCGAGCAGCAAATAGTTTCGCTCTTCTCGCTCCGATGCCACGAATTATAGAAAACTGGTAGTTAGTGGTACACGCGCGGTAATTGCAAGCAATCGCAGAAATTAATTGTCGAACAAGCAGATACCTATCTCCATTGGATTATGCAAAGAAACCTTGCGCGCGTGTTCCGTCGATGGCAATTATTTTTAATTATTCGCTCATACCTAATGTATCGAAATCGATACGTCAATGTATCATACGGCTCGGAATATCGTGTCTTCATAATGTCGTTTAGTATTCGATTAATGATAAACGGGGCCTGCAATCTCTCGTTTCGTAACATTTTCGTCCACGAGACTGCGAGACTCGGACTCACAACTTAGGACACACGAGAACGACCCTTGACTCATGAAACCCGATACGACACGATCCCGGACTCGTTGGACCCGACACAGCTGACCTTGTACATATGGAATCTGATACGAGCGAAGTAAAACTCATGGCACTTAACATAGGGTACACACTCATGGGGATCCCATGTGTGATACTCGTTGGACCAATACAGAATAGTGACACTCAATTTAGAGAAGTTACAGGGTCGTAGTCTCAATACACGTGACCTTGGTCTTGTAAGTACATATGTTACAGAATCTTTTTCAAAATCCATTTCATAATCTGAAAATAATTATTATTCTCACGATTTGGAATTAAAGTAGATGACACTTAACATAGGGTACACACTCATGGGGATCCCGTGTGTGATACTCGTTGGACCAATACAGAATAGTGACACCCAATTTAGAGAAGTTACAGGGTCGTAGACTCAATACACATGACCTTGGTCTTGTAAGTACATATGTTACAGAATCTTTTTCAAAATCCATTTCATAATCTGAAAATAATTATTATTCTCACGATTTGGAATTAAAATAGAAGACACTTAATCTAGTAAGTTTGTATTCAGGACAAATCATGGATTTATAACAATTGTATTCGAAGTTAACACTATAAATATTTGAAAATTTCGAAATTTATTACGATAGTTTTGTCAGGTTTCATAAGTCTGAATCGTCAAGGTTCCTGCAATTTTGATACCGTATCAGATCCCATTAGTTTCGAGGTTATCTTTATCAGATACCGTGAGTTCACAGTCGGCGTCGAGTCCTTTGAAGCCACCATTTTCTGTATTTGTACCTAATTTTTTCCGCCGAGTACGGAATACATTGTGTGCACTTAGGCGTATCTAGAACGCGGTTGCTTTCCATTTACAGCAGATGCCAGCGATTTCCGCGTTGTGTACAGCCGTACTATACTACAGAATAATTTTAACGAATTGTACATTTGCGTATGCAATTACTTAACGTTCGTAATCTACAACAAATACCAGAGTTCTATTAAAAGCGCCTGGTGTCCTACAAATGTTGATCATGAACTCAAGTTGATCCAATAAAAAGTCTAGATTGAAAAAAAATCCATAATCCTATAGAAAAATTCTGTAACGATTTCTACAATGTTTCTCCCCCCTGGAAACGAACAGGTTTTAACAAATGTTTCTTCGAATTATAAATAAAGATTTTCGTGTGTACTTTTGGATCAGAGAGGTACTGTGATACGCGTATTCATCATTGAAGGATGGAGGTGTTATCTTAAAGAATAACTGCACCCCCGTGGCGAAGTTAAAGCTCACTGTCGTTCGAATTATGAGTATTGCTACATGTCTTAACGCGCGAATAAATATTTGGACGCGCCGCGGGGTTCGGGGCCAGCAAAGAGGGAACGACCGGAAGAAAGAAATGCTTCTTAACAAACCGAAGTTATTAGAGGCCGGTAATGCTAGCCTAATATGAAAGTTACGAGCTCGTGGAGCCAGCAAAAGTGGGCCCATAAGTTACAATCAACCGGATACTGCCCACGGGGGCCCGAAAGTGCTCCGGTTAAATTACTTTAAGGGCCTCCCTACAGTACAGCCCTTCGTATTCTCGCCATGTGGTCCCTCTAATCCTTTGCACGCTTCTCCCCGCTGTCCGTGGTTAACGTTGATCAAACTGCAATTTCATGATACTTTCGGGCGCCGTCTGTTTGGAATTAATTATGCGATCGTGCTTGTTTACAGAGCCTCATTATCTCATACTCGAGTACGTGATGTACGGGAAACTGTTGGCGTATCTGCGCGATCATCGTACCAGGCAGGATTTCTACAATTTCAGCGAGGACTCGGCCGCCCTTACGTCCAGGGATCTAACAGTTTTCGGATACTGCGTGGCAAGAGGAATGGAGTATCTCGCATCGAAGAAGGTGAGCTTTTTCCTTCGTTAATTATAAAATATGACAAAGGAAAAATGTACTTGTCCATCGAGATCAAATAAAACGTCAGAGTATATAAATATGTTTTCCAAAACAAACTGAATTTAACGATTGTGTGTTCATCTTCGAAATATGAGCCTATAAGCATATACATTTTTTAACACAAATTCGAATGACTATTTAAAATTTTTTTTTTTAATTTTAATCTCGAAAGCAAGGAAAATACATAAAATCCCTGATAAAATAAAATCTTAAATAGAATTCTTTTGCTAGAGAAGACTATTTTTAAAATTTACAAATACATTGCCTTTTGTCTTATTTTATACTCTGAGAGTAGTTTCTCAGAAAATTCTGAAATTTATAATTAAAAAATGTCGGATTAATTTTTTATCTGAATTTTAATATTCCCCATTGGTGACTATTAAAAGTGAAAAATTATTAGTAAACTTCTGCAATACCGTTGTCAATTTATTTGGATCGTTATCGCGACGAGTAAAACGCGATTATTTAAATTGCTCAACTTCGGTACGCGCAAAGCGAGTAAAAATGTGAATACGTACAACTTTGCGCAAGCTCGGTACGCAATATCGGCGTAATATTTCTCGGTTTAGTGATCCCCGAGGAAAAGGAACACCGCGGAATAAGGAAAAAGAACGGCGGCTATTAAATTCGATCGTTTAAATTCTTTTCCGCTAGCCTCCACAAAGCTCGCATAAAGTATCATCTCCTCAGCGATTCTTATTAATTTCAAAGTTGGAATCCACTACCCCGTGGATGCACTTAAATCAACGCTCGCCTTATCTGTATTTCGATCACTCTTATGAGTGCTCTCGGTATTGCCACGAAATTTATTACGACTTTTGCATCCTCGCGTGTTCGATACCTCGCGTTCGAAGCCGAAACGAAACGGCCATCGTCTATTTATTGCGACATTATATCGAAGAATTGCTCCCGATCTTGCTACCTTGTATCAGCCCGAACCTGTTCTTAATTCTTCTCGAACGTGAATCAGTCCGTAAATCATGGCTGATCAAAAATAAAGGAGACTGATCTATTCGATAAAATTTATTCTCAATTTATGGAGCTTCGACTCGTTGATAAGAGAAGGAATCTCGAACCATTAAAGGTATTTGTCAGATAAATAGCTTTAAACGCTATGAAATGAAACGAAAGCTCTTGCAAAACACGTAATATACTTCGATAATTTTAAATTAGCGAATATGCTTGCGATTCTGAATTATGGCGCTGATACTATCCGAATGTAAATTCTTTCGAAGTGTCGTTGGACAACCTTATAGCAGAAACGTACAAAACGGGAGAATCAAGTTTTTCTTGTAAAAATGTAGAATGCAGAGTCCAAAGATCAACAACTATAACGTTTCTGGCCTCACGATTCGTTCAAAGAATGCAAAATAAATATTTCTATGCGCCCCGCGGTGCTTTAATGGAGTTTTTTACCCAACGATATCACCGAAGCTTCGAAGACAATCTATGTCATAAATTTTCTTTTTTCCTCGATGTTAGATTAACGTTTTGGCATTGCCTGTGCTTAACAAAAACAAAAACGATTGACGTAAATGTTATTCAGTTTGATAAGAACTGTTCGAAGTAACAATAAAATAACACCATTTTCGTAAAGAATTTGTTGCACACGAAAGGGCTTTTGAACCATTTAATTAAAAACAAATTGAAGTTCTTCATACCGAATAATTAATAATACAAGTGTTAGTAAGTTTTGCGTTTGAGAATGGAGATAATTACGAAGACGGAATAAAAATGTACATTATTTTTCAAGGATCAAGATTGTCTCGGAGCAACGTTCAACGTAATTGCACGATGCAGGAAAATGCATTTATCGGTGTGAATGCAATAATTGACGCAATATTCGCGAAGGTAATCCTTCGATTAGTAGAATTTCGCAAGGACGAACACCAAATAAACCGTCCATAATTATTTTCCTCGAATGTCGAATTACCGACGTTCGCGTAATCGTTTCGAGGAATTGCCGCGCGAAAGCTGATTTTCTGAAGTTAGTGGACAATAATTGCCCATCGGAAGGAAAACAATAGTTTCCAGCTCGGTCTGAGGAGCATCAAGGTTCTTCTTACGAGTACGGGAAACGTGCTCTCAGCTTCGAGCCTCCGTGAACACTTTGCATCGATTTCGAAAGAGTTTAAACAAATAAAATGTAGAAATGTGTATTAAAACGCGAAACGATCGTTTCGATGGGATCGGAGATTCGTGAGGTGTACAATGTTAGAGGGAAAGCAAAAGATATGACCGATTTACGCAGCCATATTCTAAACAGCTGATAGCTATCTTCTTCATTTCCATAATTCAGCCGTCCGGTTCGAGTTTTATACGAGTCATCATTTCCTTAATCCATTTCGAAACGACTTTCTTCGTCGAAGAATTAGAATAACAAATCACGGTCTCGTCTGCATTGGACCATAAATGCTTCACCGTATTTAAATTGAATCCATCGTAAAGAAACACTATGGTTCGGTTATTTTGCAGGTAGTTCGAGCTTTCTTGTAATTTTCTTTTGCTTCTTATCGCGATTATTACAATTTGCTTACTTTCTGTTTCAAGTGTGAGGCGAACAGAGTGTTTAGAAAACGCGATTAAGGTTCTAATTATCGTTGTTTCGCGTGCATCTTGCAGGAATGCAGTTCTCGCATTAAATTTCAATGATTCCCGTCGATCGGTAGCGGGCTGGAGCCGATTACAAAATTAAGAATGGAAAATAGTTAAGCATCATCGTCGACCGGTTATGATTCGCGAAGAGGTGTATGCACGCGAGAGGCTCGGGGCGTCAAGCAGCAGGAACCAAGTCACGATTGGAATCAGCATCCTGTACTCTTCGTTGGGATGGACGACTTAAGAGCAAACCGAGTCAGGATGTCGATTTCAATCAAAGATTATATACGTCTTCGTAGAAACATCTCTCGGGGCCGATACATATTGTACGGTTAATTGAAAATGGAAGCCACGGGTGATACACGGACGAGATCGAATCGACGAAACGAACTATCGAAACATTGGGTTTCATTACTTAAAACAATACATGACACACTTTCATTACTCGATAACAAGAAGTGTACATTTCAGATCGTCGATACTAAAAAACACTTGAATATAATACGAAGATCCAGTAAATTATTTGCTTATAAGTGTTTCATGAATCATTGAGACGTAACTATCCATTTAATACACCTGAATGATTTCTATAATTGGGTGACATTTATATTTCGTAAGAACTGATTCAAATTTTTTTTTTTTTTGTTTTCAAGCCTTTCTTGGGAACCTATGGTTCAAAGTTAGGCGACCACGCGTAGAAATTAAAAGTTCAATTAATTATTACGTATAGTTACCATCTTAGAATCCTGTAGGAATTTTAATAATTTTGAATAATTCAATAATTTGCAAACCACTTGAGCGAAGTATTCAGACACATGGTACGTTGCGTATGTGTAAATCATTTTCCTCCGACTATATACAGCGATTACGTATTGTCGTCACGTGTACGAAAATATCTAATTATGTATCGGTAGAGCCAAGGAAATGGCTGACAGAAGTAATATTTAAGGTGATGATTTCAGGATGTGGACGGAACCTCGTGGCACGTTAAAAATCAACAAAACATCGATTGTGTAACAGTAAAGATTCTTTTTCTGTTTTACAAACACGAATGTTTTACAATAGAGAATATTTTATTAATAAAACAATTCGTTGCTACGAGTATGTCACTATGAAGACCAAAATATACCCCAAATATATCACTCTATATGAACATATAAAATTCATAATTTATACTTTTTTTCACGATGTTCATTCTTTCTCGAAACGATAAAGATAACGATGTCCGTCCTGTTTCTTTACCTTTTTCCTCTGTGCTTTTTTAAAACGCTAGTTAACCGATATTTATCGCAACTTCTATTCTTTACGAAGGCGTCTCGTTTCTCCTCGAAAAGGACGTCACGTATTCCTCGAAAAAGACGTCTCGTTGGTTTTTCGTCCACACATAACCGCGTTTCAGTATATCGAACATGTTAACATGCCTCGGTGTGCAAACCGAGGCAGGATTCGAGCGGTAAAACATATTTTCATCCGCTCGAAGCGCCGACGAGCGCGCAAAAAGCACGAGCGGCTCAAAGGCGACAAATGGATCCTCGTTCGAGTTTTTCGTTAACCGGCCGCGATGTTCCTGCCTCGCCGCGATAAATCAAAAAGATGAAGTCATTAAAGAAACGGCCAAGATGTATGTACACCCAGTTTGCTTTGACATTGAGCTGCACGGTTCATTAGCATCGCCGACCAACGATCGGATTTTCCGATCGGCGAATCAACGTTTTTCTACGCCCGGTTCGTTTAGGAACAGGTTCCCGACGATTCTGATATTATCGGTACAAAATATGAATTACTTTCACGCTCCTGGAGCGTAGGAATTTTGATTAAAACATCGAGAGATAGTTAGGTATTTTGGAAGGAAAGGAGGAGAAGTTGGTCCACGATGGTTGGTCTAAAATAATATTCCCACGCGTATTCGTAGAATGGTGATTCGTTATAAATGTACAAAATTAGGTTACTTTTTTATATATTGACATTTTTAAGGGGTTGTATATGAATGAATTATGAAAGGAACTTGCTAACCGGTCGTGTCACGTTGTAAACATTGATTCTGGTCCTATTCGTAAGCAGGTTTTCTCATGAACTAGATTCCTGCAAGGATTGCGAACAGATACTTTTGTGATATCCGAATTACAATTATTTTTGATATAATAAACAAGCTGTTCAAATACAAAATGTACAGATACGTAGAATAATGAAAAGTGAAGGTAAAGCTTGGACTAAATAATTAGGAACTTCTATAAAATATTAAATATATCCAACATCTACACTGATGTAATTATATTATTGTATTTTGTTACCAAATGTAGTGTCTAATGGCTCTAGTATGGGTTATCACTTGCAAAAACACACCAAGTTATTATTGATTTGTAATTTTGTTTTATATTGTTAAACCTCTCTATTACTTTTGTAATTGGATATTACTTGTTCGTTAATATTAAAAATGAAAGAAAAACTGCTTCGTAAATAGGTGTGAAGTAACACAGTTGTAATAAACAACATTTGGTAAAAATTAAATGGAAAAGTATTTACAGGAAACAAGTCAAAAAACAAAACAACTTCATAAATAGGAGTGAAGTAACACAGTTTTAATAAACAACATTTGATTAAAAATAAATGGAAAGAAGTTTTATGTGTTTGCGCCTCTCTATCAGTTTTGTAATTGAGCATTATTTGTATCCTAATATTAGAAAAGAAAACAGGACAAAAAACAACTTCGTAAATAGGTGTGAAATAACATATTTATAACAAACAACATTTGGTAAAAATGAAATAGAAAAATATTTATAAGAAACAACTCCGCTGACATTTAAAAGAAAAACAAACCAAAACAACTTCATAGATAGGAGTGAAGTAACACTCCTTTCCAATATGGAAAGAATCCATAAAAAACAAGTTTCTCTATAATAATGAATCACCATTATAGTGTATTATGCAAATACAAAGTAGAAGTAAAATTATACGTATTCGTCACGATTCGACGTTTCGTGTTTCATTTACGAGGATCTCATACGAATTTAAGTGCCCCCGCAAAGAGGAAAAGAATCGCTCAAAAAATTCTATCGAAACGATTTACGATAAAGACACGCAAAAAATTGACAGATTAATTTCCTCGTTGTCCTTTTCCGCGTCCGACATCACGTCGGCCGGTTCCCATTTCCGTACGGTGGGTCACGTAGCGGCGTAAACTAAATCGAATTCGGCTTCCGTGGGCGTGCAAATGCGCGATAAATCACGGACAATAATAAATAATAACGAGTAGCGGCGTTGCCGCCGGTCGCGGATTCCGCCATAAAATTCGACTCGTAAATATCGCGCGGAGGAAGCGACCGTCGAACGAAGGGGGTACGGAAGGTCGAGTTTCTCGCTGCCGCGGGGAACCCCCCGTACGAGGATACAATTTCGTGCGTCCTGTCACGCGACACTGCGTGATGCGGTTGCGTAACAGGACGTCCACCTGCGGTCGCGTACCCGCGAGCCTGGAGAAAAATTATTGTACATCGGATCAACCTGTGCCCTCTCCTTGGTCCCGCAGATCATCCACCGTGATCTCGCCGCGAGGAACGTGTTGGTGGACCACAACAAGCTGTGCAAGATCGCGGACTTTGGCATGTCCAGATTCGCGAACGAGGACGGCGAGGTGATCGAGACCAGACACGGAAGGAACGCCCTGCCCATCAGGTGGATGGCCCCGGAATCCTTGATCTACTCGCTCTTCACCACTAAGACTGACGTATGGAGCTTCGGGATCCTGATGTGGGAGATCGTCACCCTAGGTACGTGCTTAGATCATTTCCTGGGTTAAACGTCGCGTCGTATTGGTCATAGCAACGATGGTATTATTTTTTACGGGGTGTAAAGTGATTCTATGCTGAAAAATACGTCGAAAAGGAAAGGTAACATTTTTTCGTTTGAGGCTTCGTTTTGGAGATAATTCTAATTTGAATCGTTTGGAGTGTATGTCCATGGATCGCTGTTTTTACTGTATTGTACGTATGAGTTTTCTCGAAAATGGAGCTTCAAATGAAGAAATATTACTCTTTTGTTTTTACTTATTTTTGCACGTTTTAATGTGAAATTTTATTAGTGACTCTAAAGAATTCAAGATTTATTAATAAATTCTGAATTTCTAATTCTTTGATCTGAATTCTGATCTATTTTCTATCAGTTTGAACAATTTCCACTAATTGGTTTTCTATAATTCATCCTGATGGTATCGACTTCCTTGCACCGTGAACATAATACAGCTAATTATACAGTAATAACATCCGCAGAAAAGCAATCTAGACAATGGTGAATGGGAGCGGTTCGACTTTAATTTCTGTTATAAAATCTAAGCCTAAGCGTAAATGGACCGGGGGACTCTCTTCGCAGTAATTGCACGCATAAAACACGTCGAGCCACGGACTAATAAAATTCTAACGCCCATTAAAATTCGTAATTCATTCGTTGTTATTAAACCTGTAAAATTAGGTCGGAAAATGAGAAATTGTTTCATGGAGCAACATATATTGTACACTGTGATTCCTGCAAACATTCTCACAACATTATTTTTATAATCGTAGGGAACGAATGTTGCATAAATGTGGGTCTATTTCCCTTCTTCTTTACAATCCTTAACATCCTTTTTAAACATATTTATTTCAGAAAAGCTTTGATTCTTTTAGCTAACTCAATTTAACAAATGGACTCTCAATCTCAACTGAATTATTTCACTTAATGTTGATTTTTACTAAAGTGGTAAATGGGAATCAACTTTTCTTTAAAGCATTTAGAAAATAATGAACTAACGGAGGATTATATTAAACAATTATTAGTTTAAACTGCGGTGGACCTCAATAATCTACTTAGGGGTTAAAGTAGAGATATTCTTCGTACTATAAAAATATTTTTCGATTATAAAATAAAATATAAACTCCTCAAGAATGTTTACTTTTCAGTCGAAAAAAGCTCACCCAAAAGCAGTATTAAAATTCCAACTTCGAAAAGATTAACCCTTGAACTTCGAGTCTTTATTAATACGAACGACTAACAATAGTAATTGCAATTTTAAAATAAAAATTTAAAAAATAAAAAAAATTTTCTCTTTTCCACAGAAATGTATAAATATCCATGATTTAAATTTTATTTATATATAACATATATGAAACTTGAATCGAGCTATGGCACCTATAATATTTGTGGAGTGTAAGGGGTTAAATAAATTTTAGAAAAAATACAATATCGTTTGCACGAACCACGCTTTTAGACAATGCTCAAATTATGATATTAGTAAAAAGAAAACACTTGGTGGTCTCTTCAACGTGGGGGATCCAAAGTCGATACCGAAGAGCTCTAAAATATATTTCTCGATCATCTTTGACGCGTAGCGTAACAGACACTGATATATCGATAACAAAGGAGATTTCTATGTCCATAGATTCAAGATAGCTATAATATAATATTTATGAGGCGCAAGGGGTTAAATAAATTTTAGAAAAAATACAATATCGTTTGCACGAGTCACGCCATTTATCATCCATGCTTTTAGACAACGCTCAAATGATGAAATTAGTAAATAGAAAACACTTGATGGTCCCTTCAACGTGGGGGGTACAAAGTCGAAACCGAAGAGGCTCTAAAATATATTTCTCGATCATCTTTGACGCGTAGCGTAACAGACACTGATCTATCGATGACGAAGGGAATTTCTGTGTCCACAGGTTCGACACCGTACCCGGACATGACGGCACGGGAAGTCATGCGGAACGTGCAGAACGGTTATCGACTGGAGAGGCCTTCGCACTGCCGAAGCGAGCTGTTCAGGGTGATATCCCGATGCTGGCACGCCGATCCAGACCGCAGGCCGGAATTCCAGACGCTGAGGAGGGATCTGGCGCAGCTGCTCGAGGACAACATGAACGGACATTACGTCGATCTCGAGAGCTTCGCGTCGGAGTGCACCGATTGAAAACTCCAGCCAGAAATTTCGGGAACCGTCTCGCCGACCCTCGAGTCTCCCACGCGCTAGAAATCCGCGATCGATCGATCGACGCGCCAGAGGGATGACACGGCCCTCTCGGAGCTCTTGGGACGAAGCTAGGAGTCGAGAAATTGAAAATTCCTCGAGAAAGAGAGTACGAATTTTTATGAAGCAACGCGATGTCGATGAATGCAAGTGGGTGAGCCAAAATAAATTGGGAACAATTGCAAGAAATTCTGAATATTTTTTGGGCTTTTTAATAAATGGAATCGTACTCAGTTCTTCTGGGGAATATTTATTCCGAAAGAAACGAGGGAATCTTTGATCGTGATAAGCTCATTTTGCACTCCGTAACGATAATGATTTCGAAGCTAACAAATTTCGGGAGTAATTTATTTTTGATACGTGAAACAGAATTTACCGAACACGTGCTTTGCAGTGCGTTTGCATTTCCCTTTGTCGAAAGTGAGAAACGAATACGAATCCGTCCGAAAGCCTTCGATTCGTCCAAAGCACAGTGCTATTGCAGACTTTTATGCTAGTTGCGCGCCAGTAAGACGAAAATCGTTAAGATATATCGAATAACGATAACTGTTAAAATACGCACAAGATGACTTATTTCGCAGACGTTTGAAATATTGTTTCAAAAGCGTTCTGTCACCGAATCCTTTTAAAAAGTATTTTTACGAACCAATCTCTTCGAGCAGGTGCTTAAAGGATTCGCAAAAGTGCTAATATTTAATCTTCCGAGAACAACGCGTCGTGTGGAAAATATTCAGTGGACCCTGAAGAAATTATCGAACGTGAGAGTAATTTTGGACGAGATCGTTTTGTACGAAACGAAGAGAAGAACGACGACAACGCAAATAAGAATATAATACTTCGAAGACAGAGACATTCTTTTGGTTCTCGAAAGCGGAGAAAATGTTTGGAAAGGTCTAAGTATTTCGTTTTAGTATTATTATGTATCTAGCGTTCTCAATTAATGCGCCAGTCATCGAGCGTTCGTTCGCGTCGGTGTTTTTTTTACTCAACGCAGACGTTTGTTGCATCGATACAAACGTTCAATAATTGATAAAAGAAGACCAGCAAATTTATTCGACTCTGATAAGATAATTTTAACATTGTTCGTTGACTGTAACGACGCGTGTCTCGATTGTATAAGCAACAAGAATAAATTGAAAATTTACAAATTCAAAAATCTAACATCACAACTTTACGCAATAATTTTCCCCCCCAATGATTTCACCGGTTTTGATCTTTGAACAGGAGTCTGCGTTCCGATGGAAATTCTCTGCTCATAACAAGAAACCCCGACGTGCAAACGATCGATCATGCAACTCATCGCGCCGCGAAATGATCGCGTTTTGACGATATCATTTTGTCCCGCGTGTCTTATATAGTGACGAATCCTCATTTCGGAGCATTGTACATAAAATCGCATTATTAAAACGGGTCGAAAAAGAAACGACCCCCTCTTCAATCATCGCCCTATCATCTGTATCGAGGATTATTATTTTTATTATTATTATTATTATTATTATTATTATTATTATTATTATTATTATTATTATTATTAATATCTGTATTATCACTGATTAATCGTTATTAAGCACGTACATTCATAAGATTTTCAATCGTCGATTTATTCTTAATCATTCTAGTCTCTCCCGATGCGTCCGGGGTGGCGATTGGTCTTTATTTTATTGCAACACGTAAATCACGGACAGACACGCGTAAATTTATTCTGTATTGTGATATATCTGCGTACTTTTATACCGTGGATGCTCCCCAGAGCCGATTAAAGCCCCCACCATTGTCGGTTGTTTATCGTATTAAGTTTTGTATCTCATACGGTCGATTTCTCTTCGACGCATCCCTCGACCTCGCTTACGCATCATCGAAGAGAAGCGACGCTATTCGATATCACATGTTATCACGATGTTACTCTGCGTAGTTTACGATACGAGCGTATATACGTACGCTTTATTCCCACCCTTTCCATAAAAAAATACAAGAATTACTGTATGTAAACTCAACTATTGTAAGAGCTCTTTTTTTTGTCAGTAAACGTTGTCGTAAATTTCATTCGACTTTTTTTTATTTCTCGAATATTTCTAGTTCGTTTTCCAACTACCACCCCTTGGGATAGTTATCGTAAGGCGTTCTGGCTCTGCTCGAACGTGTTTCGTTTTGAAAAATCTCATTACACGAGTTATCGAGTTTGCACATTTCTGCGATGCAAAAATCACCGTTTCTTAAATTGGACGCGCAAACGCGAGACTGCGTTCGGTTCCTGATTAATCGAGCCGCGTTTGCGCCGGACACGCAGATTTATTCGCGAATGAGCGGACGAGATAAGGGCGAAAACCCTATGGCGGCGGTGAGTTCGGTTCGTTCCATCAAAGTCTCCAAGTCGACGATCTAAAAAAGAGAAAACACTGCCAGGAAGAATGCCATTTAAGAAAGTATGCATCGCCAATGTTCCGAGAGACCGAAGGATAATGCAATTTTAGCGGTGTATCGCTTAAAAATATTTTTTACATTTACCCTTGTGTTCAAACGTTTCACTACATTTAAAATTAGAATATACTGTAATTTTCTTTTTCGTAAATCACGTCCCATAAATAAGGTCAATTTTATCCCTGAATTTTAAAAATTCTGATTCTATTCGTGAGAAAATCAAAGTCACAGTATAATTTCAGCTTAAAATACTCTTTTCTATCTTTCAAAATGAACGAGTTATCAAGGTTAACCTGTCCTAAGTGCTCTGTATATCGCTAAGTCAAAAGGAGGAAAGTGACAGTTGACATTTTTCGCGCGATAAACGTGGAAATAATTACCGTGGAACGCGACTCGGTACGTCTTCATTAAACTAATTGAAGGGACGCTCCGGTCGTGCATCGATTTAATTGCGAAAATGTACGAACGAATTGTCCAAGCAGTACACGTGGGCGTGGAACGATATCGTTCGCGTGCTTTCTCGCTTCTTAATTATTATTATCGCGACACCGAGTCCCTTCGCTCTTTGGACCTTAATTAACTCGCGAACAGGCGAATCGATACTCGTAAGGAATTGCGTTCTTGCACGTGACCGCACGCGACACCGTGATTTCGGAGTTTTATCGACGCCACTTAACGCAAACGCGAAGTCCTCTTCGCCAAATTACCGTCGATTTACTCCAAATAGCATGAATTCCACGAATCAATGATAAAATTGTTCTTTGTTTGCTCACAAACAAGGTAAGTGGCCCTAATTTCAACCCTAAAATTAGGAATTACTTGATATTGCTAACACTGCATTAATTATGACGTTGCTACGGAATCACAAATATCCTTGTACGGTAATCTGTGTAAACTTTGTTTATAGAATGATTACAATAATGACAATTTATATGTTGAAAAGTGAAACACTTTCTAAAAGAATCGTACGGTATCAAGAATGCTACTAAAAATGTACTAAACATATCTAACATTAGAAAAGGAACTTAGATGATTTGAGATATCTGGGGAATGCAATTTCATATACTTTAGCGCGTCAAAAACATCTATGGAACCTAGTAGCCAATAAAACATGGTATTAGAGAGTTAGTATTAGGAATATTATGAAAGTCTTCTGATATTATTATGTTTGTTATTTTATCTTGAATATTTACTAGAGTCATTAATGTTCTATTATCCAAAACTCTCCTAAAAAAGGCAATCATGGTTTCCTATTAAATTAAAGATTAAATTTTAATAGAAGCCTGATTTTTCACGTTTACGATAATAATATAAAAACAAAAGTACTGTTCTAAAAGAAGAAAATGACTGCATGCTGTCAATTAGAAGATTCAATCAGGCAGCTAGAATCTCAATAGACACATCAGTGGAACAGTAATATATTCACTGATGATAATCGTACGAAGCATACATACTTCTAGGATAAATTACCATCAAATGGCTTAATCAGTGCTATCCGTCAATTGGAATAAATCAAAATAACACGTACCATTCATTGAATCACTTATAACATCCACTGTTGCCTTCGATTACCAAGTGTACAAAATTACTATAATCTTCATGCAATTGCAAGATCGCGATTGATTCTTAAACTTTCATCAAAATTGCATGATGATGAGGTGAAAAAAATCTCCTTAATTATATTTACAATAAAAGAGAAATTCCTCTTTCCTAACTAATCCTACATTTGAAAGTGCAACACATTAAATTCTAATCGACTGTGAAATAATATTATTTAAAAATTCTATTTAAAAACAATCTTCTTTACGACCGATATAATGGAAGCAAACTTTTCTAAAAATTCTGGTCGTTAAATTCGAATTCCATCCAAGGGCAGTCTGTTACGTACACTTTCACCCGTAACACCTAATTAAGGACGATTATCGTTCGCGTAGCCAGCTTGCAATTAACTCTGAACTTCCGTATACACCGTGATCGCCGATCGAAGCAGGAAACTGCTCGATGCGGCGGTAAAATTGAGTTCCGTTATATGGTCGCGTCGTTAAAGGGTATTACGAAGCGCGCGGGTCGTTTGCATAATTTTAGGAATTATCTCTCGAACCTGGTAACGGTATTGTCCTTCGAAACACCCGAAAGGTCCTCGTACCGTGCAGTACTTTAAGACAGAGTGGATTTCGCGAGACTCGGAATAATTAAACTACCCAGCCAATTTATGGCCACAGAACTCTTCGTGTATCTTTCACTCTGTCCATTAATATTAAGCTAGTCCTTTGAATAGTTACTATCTTCCCTAATGGCTCGATCAGTACGCAAAAGCGCTGTCAATTATTGCCAATATTGTTTCATTTTAATCTTGATCAAACGTAACGTTAAAAATTTTGCAAGATTCTGAATAACGATGTTATTAATCTTTCGACTATTGTAACTTTGCGAAAGGAAATCGTACAGGAAGTCCCTTGAGATCATTTTAAACGGAACCTCTAGAAAATTTGACAAATTTAAATGTCTCTTACAAATTTTCTACGCGATTACGGTCACCATGAACTTGACAATTTGAGTCTCTTTTGAAGAGTTAGATAGATGTTTAGAAAATACGAAACATATAGAGTGATTTACTGTATATAAAACGTGTTGAAAAACAAAGCAGTACCACCTCTGCTTTTGCTAAACACTGTCAAACCTAATTAGATAACGCAGATATCGTAATTATTATTTTTAAAAAAGATCAAAGTGACCGTAACAGTTATGGAAGAAGTAAGACGCGATACCGGTTGAGGGTGAAATAAGTTTCAGCAGAAACGTTAGGGATAAATCTGCGAATGAGATGTTGCGTTCAGTGTTATCTTATCATCAAGTTCGAGTGATTTAAGAAGGTGTTGCGGCAGTGACGTTTTGATTGAATGTCGGCTAACAAGTTGCATACACTTCCTCGTAACAAGCCCGACAAACGTGTTACGTATGAGTTATCTCCAAAGACGTTTGGCTTTCCTGTATCCTGTTCGCCGTATGGTTGATAATGTCCTCTGGAACATGCAAGTTCAGACAGGGTGCGTAATCCGACCCGAGAATCGAAAAACTCTCAGGTATAATACTACGGTAAAATTCTCCGTGTTAATAGAGACTCATCATCTTACATTTTAAGCAAAAATAAAATGTGGACCCTTCTAATAATGCAACCTTTTCACATTTTAAATTATATATTGAGCTTTCTTCCATCTCAGATTTGTGAATAGTAATTATCTTTCCTTGTGGGATGATTCTAATATTACGATATTTTTTAATCTACGAATTATTTTGTATCTAACTTATAAGAGAATGAATGGATTAGCAAAATAGTGGAGTAATTAAAAATAAATTTTCTGCGTAATCATCTTTTCTGGTGAGATGTTACTAATATTACGATACTTTTTAATGCACAAATTATTTTGCAACTAACTCGTTACAAAAAAAAATGAATGGATTAGCGAAAAGTGGAATAATTAAAAATAAGTTTTCTGCGTCAACGCGTTTCATTGTTCAATCGTCGAAACGTCCCGCAGTTAATCCCATTAATTTTCCATAAGTTTAGCATAAACGAGGCTGACGAGCACGACTCGAGAGGAAAGAGATCGCAGAAATTGGCCAATCTTTCCAGACGAAAACAGATACGAGGGAAGCATAGAAATTGGTCAGAGTCATCCGACGTTTCCAATGGTTCCTGAAGTCTGTTGGTTGCAATTGCGTGGATGGCATATTCCTGGCAGAGCCGTGTTCGCCGCGCCGTGTATCGGTGCACGGATCGTTATCGTAAATTGGATCGCATTCCGGAAATCTTGAAACAGCCGTAAAACGTCCAGACTCGTTTATGGCCACGGGGTAAACCGATGGTCGTACGAGAAAGAGACCTAACGTCGCGAGAAAAATCGCATAAACGATCCGCGAAGCGCACCGATACTTTCCGTGCACGTATCCGCGGCCCTCGTACCGCATTTTTATCTTCTTAATCAAATTTAAAGTCCGAATGTATACTGGGTGATTCTAGAAAATGGGACAATCTCTGATAATACTCTAAAGATTCCAAATATTTATGGAATAAAAAGCAAGTGAATTGCAAGCTTTTTACACTAATCGATTTGCATCTAGAAATATGGGTTAAGTTAGAATCATTTAGAAC